TCAAGATCATCCTCAGCCACCCAGCAAGCTTGAGGCCAGGCTGAGATACACAGACCCAGTCTCTCAAAACAGATGGAAATGTTAGGTAGCTAGGCAGGTGTTTGCAGGCTTGTAGGCCATTGCGAATGGACCCTTCCTTCCTGTTTCCCTGGCAACACTAGAAAGGGAAGCCCTTCTTTAGGATTCAAATTACCATATGAAAAGGTGGAGATAGCTGGGTTCTATTGAAGCCCATTAGGGACCTGACATTCTAAACTACCTAAAACCGTTACATACTGTTATCTCTTCCTCTTAAGAGTTAATCCAGCTGGGCCTGTCAATCACCTACCCAGGAGACCACCCCTCCCTAGAAAGCCGGTCATCCTGAAGTAGTGCGAGGGGTAACTAGCCCTGTAATAAGACAACGCATTTCTCTTTCCCGGAGCCCCCCCTCCAAGAAGACGCTTACAGAGCTTTCATAGTGGAGCACAGCTGACTCACCCACTTTTTTACTTTCCCTTTCCTCCTTTCTATTTTCCTTTTGGCTACTGGCCAAAGCCTGGGCACGCTTCCCCCCACGCTCTGGGCTTTCTCAGCCCCTCTCTGAAGTACCCGGTCCCCTGCCAACCTCCTTTGCAAAAGGCCTGGTTTTCTCCCTCTCTCCTTCCCATCTCCCTCCTCTGAGCAGCCGTGGAGATTTACAGCTTGCCTGCCCGGTTGTTTTTCCTCTCAAATTCTAATAAAATTGTCCTGGAGAGCTTCCTTTTGATTAAGGAGACTAAGAACCCAAAAGAAGGAACCCAATTTCCCCGGCAGTTTAAAGTGACGTTGATGGAACTCCAATTTCCCCAGTAACTTAGAAAGGCATCGGCGAACTCCAGTTTCCCACATAACCGAAGAAGTGGGATCCTAACAACATTAACAACAAAAATAATCCTAACCACTACCGCACGTTTACTATGCCCTGACTCTGTTCTAAACACTTTCCCAGCGTTAGTTCACTCAATATTCACAGTGACCCCACAAAATGGTGTCACCAGGGCAGGCAAGCCGTAAACCTCAGCAGATGCTCAAGAGAAGGAAGATGAAGAGAGGGAGAAAGCCATGCCTTTTGAGCTAGTGTCAAAGAAAGCAGACAGGCTCAACACTGAAGGTCAGCAAGCGGCCACGCGGCAGAAGAGGGATAGGAGCCCCAGAGAATGAGGACGAAAAATAAAAACAGATGGATTTAAAACTGGAAAAGTTATGGGCAAAGCATAGTAATAGGTTCTCTGCCCCACCCCCACCCCCACCCCAATACGTTTCTCTGCTGACACAGTAAGCCAGATCAAGCCAAATTGAAGAGCAATAATAACAGGTTTATTTATTGAGCAAAGCAACTCCCAAGCAGGTTTCCCGGTCCCAGAGAATAAGGCCAGAGAAGTTGCATGCCCAAACCAAAGCAGGGAGATTTTCTAGGTTGTAGGTGAGGGGTGATGATGTGTCTGCCACAAGCTGGTTGTGCCCAAGCATGGTCAAAAGTTGAGCACCTAGGTAAAGACTAGGAAGGCTGGCGGCATCAGGGGAGGAAGTTGCAATAGTCACCAAGAATGCAGAACTGGGCTTTTTGGCGCCTTTCCTTTATTTGGAGACTCTCTGAGTGGGCAGGGTTTGGAGAGATAGGGAGAGAGTCAGGAATGAGGCTTTCCACACCATGCAGGGGCAAGCTGGAGGCTCCAACAGAATACATAGTACCACATAAAAGAAGCTCTGCATTCAATGGCATGGAAGGAGAATTTCTGGAAAGGAAGAGTACATTATGTCATTGAGGGGATCATTATTCCTCCCATACCCTTAATATGGCATTAGGTAGATCAGCCTTCCTGAAAGATGATCATCTGGCCAGATGGCTAACAGACCCAGCAGAATCAACTGTCAAGCAAGCAGACAGGCGGATGTAATAGTCCGATCTTTGGAACGAACTGATCAGAATGTCATGTTCTGCTGGAGCCAGAAGTGTCCCATTCTTTGACCAGAAGGCCTATGGAGTGACAAAACTGATGTGTAGTCTGCTAGTGTTGCCAGGGAAATAGGAAGTGTGGCCCAAAGCTGACCACTGGGGAAAAAGTCATCCTTAGTAGATTCTAAAACCACTGCAACATTTCCCTCTCAAGAGCTGATACCCTAAAATCATCTAGGACCCAGACCAGGGGCCAGAGCTCCAAATCCTTCTGTCATCTCTGGCCTCCAGCAAGGACAAAAATGAGAAACTAACCCAGGCCCCTTTTCCTGAACTTCCCAACCCACTTCCAGCTCCCATTTTCATCAATAGGAATAATTATCTTCTCCAGTTTGGGGTGAAAAGGCGTAAGTGTTAAGTTTCAAACCCAGACAAGCTATGGAGGTGCCTCTTTAACATGTCAAAGCTGGACCTGGCCTCCAGGTTCTCCCAGCATCCCTCAGTCCCTACCTGTTACAGGATGTGGCTGGCATATCCAACCCCCTACCCTGAACTCTCCAGCCCAGGGGCTAGAGTGCCCTTCCCCCAGAGGCTCTTCCCTCTATGATCTAGACATTTTGGTTACCGGGGGGCCCCCCTTTGGACCTTTGGCCTCCTGGCTGCTGCACCTGGTTCCTCTCTGTCCCCTCTCCTCCCCTCCTCGTCACATGGCACAGCTCAGTCGGGTCCTGGTCATTCTGGACTCTCCCAGATATTCCTGCCTCTGACTATGTTCTCCCTTTTATCTATAATAAACTTTCTCCTCCACCATACCTAGGAGCAGTCACGTCCTTTCCTTTCCTTTTTATTTCTTTTTTTTTTCTTCATTCATTAAGAACTTACCTCATGTCAATACTGTGAGGAAGGACACAGGCTTTCTAAACTCAGAGCCCTACTGATCAGGCAAGCTCACCTTGTATGACAGTTGCTGTAATAATCCCATGGTGGTTTGAATAAAAACATCTCCTGCAGGCTTGGGTATCTCAACACTCGGTTCCCAGTGCTGACTGGGGAGGCTTAGGAGCTGTGGCCTTGCTGGAGAAAGTCCATCACTGGACTTTGGGTGTCCATGGCCTCATTCCCACTTCCAGTGTGTGTGGTTGAAGACGTGAGTTCCCAGCTTTCTGTTCCTGCCACCACAGCCCGTCACTTGCTGTCACACCTCCAGGCCATGATGGACCCATATCTCCCTAGAACCATAATCCAAAATAAAGTCTTTCCTCCATAAGTTGGCTTTGGTCATGGTCATTTTACCATGGCCACAAGAAGTAACTAACATACCCCAAGTGTAAAGGAGAAGTTCCCAGGAAGGCAAGTTCCTGCAGGGCCCACGGCCTACTCCCCTCCAACCTGTCCACGTGGGTAGGGCAGAGTCAGGATGGAGACCTGAGCTGAGGTGTCAGGTACCAGGTGGACTTGACAGAGGAAAGGCAAGAGACTGACAAGATGCTTGTTTAACAACCAAACTCCAACGATGGTCCAAAGAGAAGAGGATGCCACTGCAGATGAGCAGGAGGCCAAGTCCTAGAGAGGCCAAACTAGAGCACCAGGGGCCATCTTCCATGCCAGGTGAGCACGGGATAACTCATCAGGCCGTGGGTTTCCAAACTTGGTTTTCTCGGTTCTGGTGTTTTAGCAATGGCATACTTGATGCATGGCCCATCCCCGGAGCAGCGTGGCTCTCGGGGTCTGGCTATGAAGCTTTGGAGAGTCAGAGAGGAGAAGAGAGGGGCGGCTAACAGGGGAGGCGCTGGGGAAATGCGGAGAGGGATAGGCAGCGCAACACTTTTTTTTTAATGGTTATTTTGAGACAGGATCTTGTCTTAGTTAACCTGGTACTCACGATGTAGCCCAGGCTGGCTTTGAATTTATGACAATTGCTTTGTTTCAGCCTCCCAAGTTCTGGGATTCCAGGCATATACCCCTAAGCCCTGTGTGTGTGTGTGTGTGTGTGTGTGTGTGTGTGTGTGTGTGTGTGTGTTCATGGGGGTCACTTCTCAGCTTTTCAGCTAAGATCCAATGTATTGCTTCACTACAAACACCACACACCACAGGTTCTGAAGTGCTTACCCCACTGCTCTGGGCAAGGAGTTTCAGAAGAAAGGGGTGGTTCTCTTCTTCCGTGTTCAGCCTTATTTGTTAGCAAGATGTCCAGGATCTACCCAGGAACATGCAGTCATTTCAAGAGGGAAAAAAAAAGCTTTCCGCTTATGACAAATAAATCAAAAAGAAAATTTCTTCCATAAAACTGAGCCAGCTCCTGCTTCGGTCAGTGCATCTCACCTCTTTGGGGGACAATTCTTACAATGCTGGCAAAGTACTCGCCACCTGCAGACCCTGTGCACAACACTTCCGGTCCTCTCAGGGACCTATCGATGTCCTTGCTGTGGCTGGTCACTCTCACCCTCCAGATGACACCTGCAGAGGACCCTTCATCCTCACTGCTCTCCTGTCACACGCTTCCACGGGTTGTCAGCTCCCGTGGCTTCCAGCTCGGCCATCTTCTTGCTCAGCTTGCTGCCCCTAACAACTGAGTCCACACCCACCTACTAGAGCCAGGTTGATGCTCCCTCCCGCCTCCGCCCTTCCTTGGTTACCAGGGTAGAGCACCGTCACGTGATGAGACCCCCTCTCTGATTCCTGCCATTGACAGAACCCTGGACCTGCAGCCACCAGATCTGCCACCCATTTGTGGAGACTGCGAAAGCATGATAGTGTCCTCTCTGCTGGGCCATAGAAGCCATGAGGGATGCGCTATGGAAGGAAGCCTCAGGCTAACACAAGGCCGGGCACAGAATGAACACTCAGTAAGTGGCTGTTGAAGTCGGGCATGGTGGAACACGCTTACAATTCAACTCCCCATAAGGAAAAACAAAAGAAAGAAAAGGCTGTTGAATTATGACGGATATAAAGAATAATAGAAAATTTAAAGCTTATTCATTTCAGACACTAAAATTCTAAAAATGTAGCAGCAGTGCTTTTCAGATGTGCGGTTCCTGGTGACTGATTTTGGCATTCTCTCTGCCAGGCTTCTAATAGCGCGTCCTGCCTGACTGCTGGAAAATAATCATCCTTTACGTCCCGAGTAATGAGGCCGCAGCTCGGCAAGAGTCAGAGTCACCAAAGAACACAAATTGCATTCAGTGGGATTTCAGATGTGACAGCTGCTTTGTGCTTGGCATGGCAGACCAAGGACTGGATGTAATCAGAGGCCAGCAGAGGACACCCCGGCTGCAAGGTGAGGGGAGAGGCAGACTGGTCACAGATTATGGTTTTAGAAATCTCTCTAAATTTGAAATTCTTATTTAAAGAGAAAAGAGCCAAGTGTGGTGACACATGCCTATAACCCCAGCACCTAGGAAGCAGAGGCAGGAGGATTGCTGCTAATTGAAAACCAGTCTGTGTTGTATAGTGAGTGTAAGGCCAGCCTGGGATGCAGTCACTTAAATATGTTTCCTTGATGATCATATGGCTCAAAAGTCTAGAGAAAAATAATTCAGCGGGATTTTTTAAATTCAATTACGCTGATTTTCCTCTTTTAGCCTCTTCTTCCTTAACTATTATTGTTGCGTATGTTTATATGAATGACAATATTGTAACATATATAATAACATTACAATTATATAATGCTACTTATATCTAAATACAACCTGCTGGGTCCATTTAGTGTTGCTCATATGTATAGTTTTAGGACTGACCACTTGGTATTGGATAACCAATCAGGGGCTTCATCTCTGAGAAAGACTGACTCTTGGCAGTCATTAGTTGCCAGAGCTCCTCATCTGGAGCACCCACACTCACTTTCTCACAAGACCAAACATTTTTCATTCTCTGATGCTATGCATGGTTTATCCAAAGTTACCAAGACCTCCAAGTCCTCTCTCCCACAACCTTCCGCTCCACATGCTTACAACTTCCTGTCCTCGTTTGAGAAACAAAAACATGGAGTTACAAAAGGCTTTCTGAGTGATGGTGGGTCACCACAAAATTATTTATTTTGAACCTAATTAAATATTTAAATCTCACAGGAGTCGTGAAAGAAGATACACATTTTTTCCTTTTTTTTTTTCTAATTTTTACTACAGTATAGCTTTTTTTCTTTTTCATGATGGATAAGTATATAAAAATACAATGATAGCAAAAGTATGAAGCCCATGGCTTCGGAATGACCAATCCAACCACACAGAAGTTCACTAAGACATACAGAGTTTGGATTACTTCCTTAAACTAGCTGTATGGTGTCTTCATTTGTGAGTTAACTAGAATAATTATTGCCTGGGATCCTAGTGCCCCCAGACAGCAGGGAATGAAGGACCTCATACCTTCCCTCCCATTTGACACCAGCCGCTCAGCTGCTGACATCTGAGAACTTTCTGACACAAGGCGTAGCAAAGAGTTCCTGAAAAACACTTCCCGAAGAGAAAAGCACGTATATTCATCTGGGAGGGCGGGGGGGGAATGCTGTGAGACTCGAACCCAGAAGTTCTGGGGATGGAATGCACTCAGCACTGAAGGGAGGGAGGGAGGAATGGAGGAGGAAAGGGTCAAGGGTCAAAGGGAAGAAGCTGATGGGACCAGCTGTGGCCAGTCCCCACAAGGGACCCCAGTGAAGGGGTCTAGGGCAGTTCAACAGCCTCCTCAGAGTGACTCTTCTGCATGCAGATAGAGAATGGCTGAAAACAGAACTGAAGGCCAGGGGGCAAAGGTGATACTTAAGGAATCTCCTGGAAGCATCCAGACTTCCGAGTCCTTGGTCCCACATCATGAGCACCATGGCAGGAAGCAAATGTTGAACGAATCCAGATTAAAGCTGTGTCTCAGTAGCTCTGTGAAACAACAGACCTGTCCTAGCTAACTTCAACTGTCAACTTGACACAGCCTAGAGTCACCTAGAAGAGAATCTGGGAATTGCTCAGATCAGATTGACCTGTGGGCATGTCTATGGGGAATTGTCTTGATTATTAATTAATGTAGGAGGGCCCACTGTGAGAGGCACCATTTCCCGGGCAGGTTGACTCTGGACTGTATCAGAAAGCTAACTATGAGCATGAGAGCAGGCCAACAAGCATTCTTCCTCCATGGTTTCTACTTCAAGATCCAGCTTGAGATCCTGCCCTGACTTCCCTCAGTGATGGATTGTGACCCGGAAGTGTGAGCCATAATAAACCCTGTCCTCCCATAAGTTGCTTTTGGTCAGGCTATCTTGTCACAGTCACAGAATAAAACTAGAACAAGGTCCCTGGAGACAGTTCTAGAACAGAATAACTGGAGCTGTTTTCAGGCTACGAGGGCCCCGAAGGAGCGCTCTGAAACCCAGAACGAAAACTGAACCCCACCACCAACCTTCCGTTTTAATTTGACTTTTTCTTTCAAGCTCAGAAGAAGACAGGCAGCACACAATGAAGCTTCACTTAAGGTTTTACACTTTGACTAGTTATTCCAGTACCGTTCCCTTATCTACCACACTTTCATTTTCTTCCAGAAAGCAAACATATGTAAAGCTTTGCCCAAGAGGAAGAAAAGCTGAGTGTGACTGTTATATTCCTGATTAAAACTTCCCTATCAGACTCCAAACCTCCGGGCATCCACTGAGAGGCAACAGCTGAGACACTTATGGACTGGAAACAGAGGCACGAGAGAAAGGGGCAATATCACAGTTGTGCCATGCGCATGGATGGCCACTGTTTCCATGTCCTGCTGGGGGAAGCAGGTGGCAGAGCCAAGCGCCTCTCACAGGCCTCTAGAGGCACCACACACACACACACGGAGGTGGCCCGTGGACTCAGTGCCTCAAAACAAGCAAAGGTTCACTGCTGCATTTAATCTCAGCACAACCCGGGGGCACAGTACTATTTTTAAAATAAAACACATTATTCTAATTAACCCGCAAACAAAACCATCACAAAGCTCCTTTAAGAATGTGTGGTGACTTGAATAAGATGTCCTTCATAGTCTCACGTGGATACTTCAACACTGGTCCCCAGTTGCTGTTCAGGGAAGCTAAGGAGGTGTGGCCTTGTGGGAGGAAGTGTGTCACTGGAGGTGGGCTCTGTTCTCTCTGCTTGCCAATCCAGATGTGACCCTCAGCTTTCTGTTCCAGCTGTGATGCCTACGCTCCACCATCATGGACTCTAACTCTTTCTACTCTAAGTTGCCCTGGTCATGAGGTTTCATCAGAGCAATAGAAAGGTGCCTAATTCAAGAGCTATTCAGACACTTGCCCCACCCCAAACTATACATCTCAGTGGACTTCTATACGGTGAGAATGGCCATTCTAAAGCAATAAAGCGACACTTGAGGTTTAAACTTTCACTCTCAATTACGTTATTATTTACTTATCCACCACAAAAAGATAGAGCATGAAAGAAACCATGACATGAAGCTTGAAAAAAAATCCTTTATATTCTTTATATACTATTTTAATCACCATTGTATCTGTGAGCAATTCAGGTTTACAGAGATCAAGCAATATGAAAGAAATTTAAAATACTAAATAAGGGGGTGGCAAGATAAAGGTGCTTGTTGTATAATCCTGATGACCCAGGTTGGAGTTCTGAAACTCCTGTAAAGGTAGAAGGAGATAACCAAATCTACAATGTTCTCTGGCCACACATGTATCGTGGCAAATGTGCTCCCCCATGCACCATGCACACATACCCAATAATAATTGCATTGTCTTATATACATGGATCCAGGATGCAGTTGAGATGCTTCCTGTCTTGATACAAACAACAGAAATGACCAAATTGCCAGCTTTCGAACGAAAGGATTATGTCTTCTTTTTCAAAAGTCTTGTGTCGTCTCCAATTTCTACTTCCTCTTGAGTCCATGAGACATTGGAAGGAGTCTCACAAGCACACAGTCAACAGGAGAGCACAGTGGGTGTTGCCGTGAAGTCACAGAGCATTCCTGTAGACACAGCTACCTCCTCATTCACCAGAGCAGAGTTCAGTGCATCACCAAGGCAAGTGGCCCCAGGCCATCAGGCCAGGAAGTGAGCTGCTGCAAACAAGCCATTTCCTGCTCGGTTTAGACTCATCCGTCCACCTCAGCCACCTCCTAGGTTCTTTCTGCCCATCCACATGTCCCATAAGATACCATGTGCTTGTCACTTAATACATACAACAGCCAGGTGGAGGCAGTCTCATCTTATTATGTATTAAAGGTTTCCTGGCATTAGAGTTACAAGGCTTCTAAATGAAGCACATCCATTGTACTTTTGTGTGGTTACAAGATTCAGGCACTCAGAGAACAGTTGGGCAGAGAACATTATGTCCATTTTTACAATATTTCAGTTCTGGGTCTAGAAAGACATAAGTTAGAAGAGAGGCAGAAAATCATATGAAATGAGTAGAAAATGGAAGTTGAATGGTTGTTTAAATTTTAAAAAAGAGAAATCGCATTTCTCCTCTGACTCACACAGCACAAGCAGCAGCCCTGCCTCGCTCGGCTTTCCTCACCATGCTGTCATGGGGCCTGCTGTCAGTCCCTCGGGACTGTGACTTTCCTCATGGGACATGAGCACTGAGGCTTTCTTCGGTAATATTTTGGTTCCTTAACCCGCCATGACAGAGTTACATGTCTGATCATTCGTGGTGACACTGTGATCTCAGGACAATCTGGCAGCCAGATGACAATGCCCTCCAGCTGATCCATTTGCCTCACATTATAATGATAATCACTTACTATGAAGGCATATCCCCACTGTGCTCAGTCTAGTTGAAGTTTCAGGCTAAAAACCTTTTGAACCAAGGAACAAATGTAAAGTCTCACTGTTGGGGAGTAGACTAGATAGAAGAATTTGAAGGCAGGTTCTGAATTTACATCTGATAGTATAATGGCATTGTCTTAGTTACGGTTTCTACTGCTTTGAAGAGACACCATGACCATAGCAACTCTTATAAAGGGAAACATTTATTTGGGTGATGGCTTACAATTCAGAGGTTCAGTCCATTATCTTCATGGTGACTCATGGTGGCGTGCAGGCAGACATGGTGCTGGAGAGGTAGCTGAGTGTTCTACATCTTTCAGGCAACAGGAAGTGAACTGTGTGTCACACTGAGTGAAGCTTGAGCAAAGGAGACCTTGAAGCCCATCCCCATAGTGACACACTTCCTCCAACAAGGCCACACCTCCTAACTGTGCCACTCACTTTGGGGGCCATTTTCTTTCAAACCACCGCAGGCATTCCACAGCAAGGACTCTCAGAGGGGGTCAGGATGGGGATGCTGCATGGAA